ATTGTTTTCTTAGACATAAAGGCATGTTACAAAATTGGAGGTAAATTGCACCCAACGAATGATATACATTACAGAACATGCCGAAGTCGTCATAGTAAATGTCTAGCATGATTTTTATGTAGGTACGTTATTAGATGCTGACGTTGGAGGTTGAGTGTATTTACTTGGGTGATGATGTCGCAGTTTGCAGTCCCTGATTTTCCACCGGCCTTCATTGCTATACAAAATTTTTCATACATTAAATTGATAATCGGGTGGCTTAGGTGTATTATAGAGCCAAACCGTAACTAGCCCAATAACGGTAAGTGGATCAATCAAGTTGGTCATTTCACTTAACCATAATTCTCCGTCTCATGAACCTTCTGTTCTTATTGAACTTAAAAAATTTTTTGGCAATTCAGAACCAAAATAAAGAAGTTGAACCTTCAATTTGATACCGTGGGAAGTTGAGACTATCGCTAGAATTCTTTCTATTCTTATTTGATTGTTTCTGTACTTAATAAACGATCCTGTTTGGTATAATTCTAAACATTATTTATTAGTTATTATTATGAAAAATCATTTAAATTATGCTTGCTGGCAAGCCAAAACACAAAAAAAAAAAATAAACAAATATGTTCTGTTTAATAAGTTAATAAAATAGTCGGATATCAGGCTGCTTGAAATTATAAATTTGTTTAACGTTCCTCTTGAGGTTTACGCGCAGTGGGATTAAACAAATATTATATACCACCTCAAAAAAATTTCCATTATTATTGGTTGGGCCGCGGTCACTTGACTTATTGAAATCTCAAAAACATAATGGACGTTTTGATTAGCTTGTTTAATTTAAGGAGGCTCTTGGAGGTGGTGGGGGAAGAACGTTAAACGAAATTGTAATTTCAAATGGCCTAACAATAAATTAAACATAATTTTGGATTTGAAAGCGAACAAATTGACAATATAACAGTTTAGGATTTTGCCAGTAAGTGTATACATGCAATTTTCATAATACCATTGTTTATTGATACAGAGGATAAGCTAAAGAGAGGAGACTCCTGCCAAATACTGCCGTGCCAGAACTCCGATTTTGTATCTGCCTCAACACCAGGTCCAAAATATATTTGTGATCTTAAATCTTTATTGTTTAGAACCCTTTTGATATGTTCGTTTACAGATATTGTGTAAACATTTTTGATAGGTGTTGATGTTGATGGTGTCTTCAGATTTTGAATTGGAATTTGATGGCACTTTATTTCTTGTAAGGGGAGTTTGCTACACAATGACTTTAACCGCCAAATATTCTGAATTGCATGTTTAGGTTGAAATTTTGGATGTTGGATGATATTCGCCAGATCTTCATACGCTTTTGTTGCTATATAGTAATGATAATATTAATAGCAAATGATTACTTACAGTAAAAAATAACAACTTATATTTCTACTAATACTTACTGATCATATGCTTAGTGACTCAAATAAAAAGTGACATCTCATAAAATTTTTAAAATACGGGCCGTATTCTCCGGATAGTGGCTGAAAATCAATTCTGCTATCTGCTATAACTTGTTTGAATTTTTCTGTATCTGTTGCCTGGCCATTATTACTAGATGTATCTGAAGTCATAGACAAACTGCATTCAAGATTATCATTGATATGCTGATTTCTATCAGAAAAATTCTCTAGCAAGCTTTTGATATCAGAAAAATTTTCTTGTAGACCTTCGTTGTTGAAGAAATTTTCACATAAACTTTTGCTGCTATCATCTCCATTGCTTATTGGTGAACATTCTTTTTGTAAGTTTCTGGGAAACATACGTGTAACACATTTTCTTAATACAACTTTTTTGGTTGGTTTTTTTGTTCTTATTCTTTTCATTTTTAAATAAA